TTACAAAGCATTCCCTTTTCACTGGCTCTTTATGCATTGCCCTTGTTAGGCCTTGACTTAGTTCTTGGAGTACAATGTTTAGAAATGTTAGGTTCGGTGATTTACAATTGGAAGCAACAAACTATGGAGTTTCAAAAGAGAATATAACCAGAAGGTTACAAGGAGCGGACCAGCAAGATATTCGTATAGCTTCTCTCAAAGAAATTTCCAAGGAGCTTCGCCGACGCCATTCTTTGTTTACTATCTATCTATGCTTCATGGAAGAGTTATCACAAATTGATATACATCCAGACATGCAGCATGTGCTAGCTCAGTACATGGATGTCTTTGAAGAGCCCACAAAGTTGCTACCTGTAAGAGAAATAGACCACAGAATTTCCCTTAAGGAAGGAATCGAACCTGTCAACGTTCGACCTTATCGATATGCATATTACCAGAAGGCAACAGATACAGGTAGTACGTGCTATTGTAGGCACTCCAAATTAAAACCTTTACTCCTTCAAAAAAATGTAGTAGTGGAAGTAAGGGTCGATCCCACGAAGAGTGATTAGTGTATTTCTATGCTAAATTAACTAAAAGGGGGTTTTGAATGTGTTGAAATCAATTCTAACTAAAAACAATGTAAATTAATAAATTGGATTAAAGCAATGAGAAAAACTAACCTTGGCCTAAGTCAATATCCACCTTCGAAATTTTACAACTGATCATAGATGCAAGTATGAATGAATTCATATTTTGAATATTCACCGTTGGAAAAATAATTACCATTCAAATTAATTTTCTATTCCTCCTTAAGTGTAATTAGTTAGAGCAACGACCTTCTAACTAATCCTAATTATCAAACAACCATAGACAAGTGCTAAGATTTAATTCAATAATAGCTTTACGTATTAGAGAAATCGATGAACTATATAACACAAGCTAAGCGTTTGCATTTAACCTATTCAAACATTCATCCTAAGATTTAATAATTTCCAAACCAAAAAATCACTAATCTTTGTTGCTTCACAAGTTAAATCAATCAAACAATTACGGATTTAATGTTTAACTTAGCGGGAGATTGTAATGAATAACAAACTAGTATGCATCTTAGCAATTAAACACAACAATCATTGAAAATAATGCAAAAGAATGTTCAATACCCAAAAACATGAATTAAACTAATAAAACAATTCGATCTCATAGTTGTATAGATTTTGGGGCTTCAATATTCTCGACCAAGTATGAGAAATTAGCTGGACATCTTCAATTTTAGAGCACAAAAGAGAGAAAAGTGATTCGGGGGCGCTCTTTCACGTTCTAGGGTGAATTAGGGCATTTATGTGGTGAAAAGATTTGTTTCCATACATGGTTGGACGGAAAAAGGAAATAAAAAATCCCTCCTCGAATTCCTCCCATGCGGCCACATGGTATATTTCCATGCTACCACATGGAACAATAAAAAAGGCTCTAGAAATTGTTGAACCAGTTCGTGCGACCGCATGGTTATACGGTTTTCTCCGCCGGACAGCTTTCAATATTTTAGTCATAACATTCTCTCCCAATGTCTGATTGAGGCGATATTAGTTGCATTGAAAAGATGACTCAACGATCTACAACTTTTCTTCAGAAGTCATCTTCCAATTCGATTGTCTGCCATGTCTAAAATGGGTCCCAATATGATGCTAAAAATCGGTGCATTACGTTTTCGATCGGAAATTGATGTGTGACTATACTTCGACTATATTTCACCTCTTTGACTTCTTTCTTCATCCACTTGACCTATAAAACTCTTGAATCTTCATTCCATCGTTCGTCTCCCGGTTCAAATTTTGGATATTTGCAATTCAATCCTTGATCTTTTGATTTCTTTCACTTCGGTCCTTCTTCACTCCTTTCCTCTAATTTATGCCATAATCATCCAACTGCGACCTAAATCAAAATATAAGGGTACTCAGTACATTTAGGCGTTAATTAATCACAAAAATGAATGTATTAATGGATGTAAAACATGACATTTTATGTCTTATCAAATTCCTCCACACTTAACTTTTGCTCGTCCTCGAGTAAAATTCAAGTTCACTTTCACAAAAATGTTAAAGTTGCAATGCTATCAACGTAGAACAATCAAACTCGTTAAAACACATAACACATCATGAACAAATATTCTCACACAACTTATAAGCAATTAGCAAGCATTCTCAAATAAGGATGGAGTAAACCAAACATGTAAACCCTCGCGGATATTAGTACTCAACTTTCATGTGTTTAAGGGGTAAGTGTTTCGCTCAAGTTCATTCCAATAGAGATGTTCTACCATATGCTTGCATATCTTCTCATTCTCCACCAATTAGATCACAAGCATAACACAAATCATAAGGTCTTTTCCATGGGTTGTAATGTGGCCTAGGGTCCAGGTGGGAAGTATTTGTATAAGTGACTCAAAAGCCATTGAAACTAGTGGAGTGAGAAAAATGAATTGCCTCAAGCTCAAACATATATAAGATATGTAAGATGACCACTCCACCTAACTGTTTCTTTTCATTTATTTCACACAACTCAATTCCTTCTTGTAATATATTAGGAGGAATCATGAGCATAAAATAATTTTGTAACCTTGAAAATTATTTCCTCCATCACTTCTTTCTTTTTCATCTCTTTCATCCCCTTTTTTTTTTTTTCAAATTTTTCTCTCTTTTTTTTCAATAAATTTTTTCATCATTTTTTTTTCCAAAATATGACACTAATAATGGAACTTATGCATTGTAATTGAGAACATGTTCCATTTCACCAATTATACTCCTACCGAAATTTAGATACCCCCACACTTACTTCTTTTGCACTCCCATATGTAACAAAATGATGAAAAATACTCCACTAGCTTTCTAGCTTGGGTAAGATTATTGTTTTTTTCCCTTCAGATTTAAAGCTTGTAACATGGACTCAAAAAGAAAAGGCTATAAGGCTCAAAGGGGTTCAACAAAGGGACAATTAATTATAGGGTAGGCTATTGGGCTCAGGTGGCTAAATTATGCAACAAAGATGGCCTTAATCATGTTCATGCATGCACGTATCAATATGATCTTGAAGAGAATCAATGCAATTTCTAGAGAAACAAATCCACGGAAGAAAATCACTCATGAAAGAAAATAGTGAGACTGATATGGATGCGTCAGTCTTAAATGCTCAAAATCTCACTGGCTTTTTGTCTACACATTTTGGTTACTACCATTCTTAAAGAAAGTAACTTAACCAATTAACTCTAAGTAGGAAAGATCATTTATTCCATCATGTTATGCACTCTTCAGAGACTGAATTGAATCTTGCAAATAACACACGACCAAAAATCATTTAAAAACACAGCTTTTCTTTCAATCTTTCGAATTTTTTTTTTTCCTTTTCTTGTCAAAAGTAATGGAAGCATGACCCCGAATCAAAAATTTAAAAACAACCTAACCTAAATTTTCTCCCCCACACTTAAAATTTACATTATCCCCAATGTAAAGTGAAATGCAAAGAAGAGAACAAATTTAACCTAAAATATGAATGCAAATACGAAAACGAAAATAAAATGTAAAGGAACGAACTCCCCTTGGGTTGCCTCCCAAGCAGCGCTTTTGTTTATTGTCTTTGGCTAGTCTTATTGCTTGGTTCCTCAACCAGCATCAATTAGGTTTCCAAGGCCCCAAGTCCTCACCTCCTCCATTTGGAGACCTGCGTAGAAAGGTATCTTGTTAGAAACTGACAAAACATTATGCAAATTTTTACTTGACTTTGGTGACTTTGGAGAAGCATTCAATGCTGCAATGGTTTCCTGTAAGGTAGTATGCAGGGGTATCTCTTGATCCACCTCCTCAATATGCTTAATAATGACAACTTTTACTGCACTTTTTTTCATCAGGTTCTAAAACTTCTTGTTCTAAATTATCAATCACTTTAATAGAATAAGCAAGGTTAGTTTCGTCAGAATGTTTCATGGCATCATAAATATTAAATTCACTGAGTTTATCGTCAAATTCCATAGTAAGCATGCCACTATAAAAATCTATTTTAGCTTTGGATGTCTTTAAGAATGGTCTTCCAAGCAAAATAGGGATAGTTTGATCACTATATCCCGTATCAAGCACATAGAAGTTAGGGGGAAAAAAACCTAATCATTAATTTTCACGAGAACAACCTCAACTACACTCTTAGGATAAGCATTAGATTTATCAGCTAATTGAATTACCACGCTAGTTTCATTCAGATCCAAATTTTAAAGAAGCGTATATAGAGTATGACATTAATAGAAGCTCCTGAGTCTAACAAAGCCTTTTCAAATCTAGTGTTACCTATCATACAAGGGATGTAAACATGCCTGGATCTTTGCATTTTGTAGGGAGTGTTTGTTGAATGATTGCAGAGACATTTTCACCTACGTTTATCTTTTCACACCTTTTAAGTTTCTGTTTTCTTTTAATGGTACACAATTCCTTGAAGAACTTAGCATAATGAGATATTTGTTTAATAGCATCTAACAATTGAATGTTTACCTCACATTTACGAAAAGTTTCATAAAGTTCGTCATTTGGTTCATCTTTCCTAGATTCTGCTAAAGCCTGAGGGAAAGGGGGTATTGGTTTATACTCAAAAAGGGGTGGAAACTTACGCTTAAGTGCACCATCGTCATTGGGAACAATATTTTCTTCAGTGGCATCTTTCTTCTTTTCCTGCTCCAGTGATGTAGAGGTTGCCCTTGGAATTTCAACATTCTTACCACTCCTCAACAATATTGCACTTACATTTTCCTTTGGATATACCATTGTTTGAGAGGGTAATTTTCCCGAACCTTGTGCTTCCAGCCTGTTGATTGAGGTTACCATTTGACCCATCTGGTTCTCCAAACTTTTAATACTTGCCCTTGTCTCCTATCGAAATTGCAAAGTGTTAGTGGCAAGAGACTTAACAATATCTTCCAAAGGCATACCTGAGTTAGAAGTTTGGCCCTGTTGTTGTTTAGGAGGATATGGTTGCCTGTATTGCTAGAAGTTTGGGTGATTTGGAGGCATTAGTTGATTCACTTGTTGACTCCCGTAGCTAAAGTTAGGATGATCCCTCCATCCTCGGTTGTAGGTATTGGAGTAAGGATCATAATTCCTTTGTAGTTGTCTAGGAAAGCCGCCCATTGCATTAACTTGTTCATTGGGGTCTTCTTGAAGATTTGGGCACATGTCAGTTGGATGTCCCATCACCGAACAAATTCCGCGCGCCTTCGTCATTTGCATATTACCTACAGCCATTTGACTCGCAAGAGAAGTTAGACTCGCAAGTTGTTTTTCAGGAGATGAAACATTTACCTCATTAACATGTCTAGGGGGGGTATCGAGTCTAGTTCCGAATTGTTGAGAATTGGCCGCCATGTTTGCAATCAAATTCCTCGCGCCCTCAAGAGTTTTATCCACCAAAGCTCCTCCACTTGCAGCGTCAATCATGCTCCTATCAGTGGGTAGAAGACCTTCATAGAAATACTGGATGAGAAGTTGTTCGCTGATTTGATGATGGGGACAGCTTGCACATAGTCGCTTGAAACACTCCCAGTATTCATGTAAGGATTCTCTACTGTCTTGCATTACACCACAAATAGCCTTTTGGTTCTTTGCTACCCTTGAAGCTAGGAAATATTTCTCCAAAAACAACCTCTTCATTTCCTCCCATGTTGTGACACTTCCAGATGGTAGATAGTAGAGCCCGTCCTTAGCTGAGTCCTTCAGGGAAAATGGAAAAGCTCTCAATTTGATTTGTTCTTCAATTACCCTCGTGGGTTTCATACTTGTGCACACCACATGGAATTCCTTTAAATGCTTATGAGGATCTTCACCTACAAGACCATGAAAAGTAGGCAAAAGATGTATTAGTCCAGATTTTAATTCAAAAGAGGTGGCAGCATCTAATGTAGGAAAAGTTATGCAGCGGGTTGTTGATGCAAATCTGGAGCTGCAAGCTCTTTCAAAGTTTGATTCCTAGCCATGTCAATCCTTAACCTGCGCAAAGTCCTTTCTATTTTCGGATCGTACTGCAAATCACCTTGGTTAGAAGATCTAGTTACGGGCATACACAATTAAGGAAGCCAAATAAAAAAAAATGTAAGCAAACTTTTTTTTTTTTTTTGGGTATTTTCGAAATTAAAATTTTTTTTTGGAATAAAAATCTAATGAAACAAATAAAAAGCACAAAAATAAACTAAATCACTCCCCGGCAACGGCGCTAAATTTTGGTTCGTGCTGTCATAGGCACACCAAATTAAAACCAATACTTCTTAAAAAAAATGTAGTAGTGGAAGTACGGCTCGATCCCACGTAGAGTGCTTAGTGTTTTTCTATGCTAAATTAACTAAAAGGGAGTTTTGAATGTGTTGAAATAAATTCTAACTAAAACAATGCAAATTAATAAATTGGATTAAAGCAATGAAAAAACTAACCTGAGCCTGAGTCAATATCCACCTTCGAAATTTTATAACTGATCATAGATGCAAGTATGAATCAATTCATATTTTGAATATTCACCGTTGGAAAAATAATTACCATTCAAATTAATTTCCTATTCCTCCTTAAGTGTAATTAGTTAGGGCAACGACCTTCTAACTAATCCTAATTATCAAACAACCATAGACAAGCACTAAGATTTAATTCACTAACAGCTTTACGTATTAGAGAAATCAATGAACTAGATAACACAAGTCAAGCGTTTTGCATTTAACCTATTCAAACATTCTTCCTAAGATTTAATAATTTCCAAACCAACAAATTACTAATCATAGTTGCTTCACGAGTTAAATCAATCAAACAATTACGAATCTGATGTTTAGCTTAGCGGCAGATTGTAATGAATAACAAACTAGTATGCATCCTAGCAATTAAACACAACAATCATTGAAAATAAGTGCAAAAGAATGTTTAATATCCAAAAACATGAATTAAACTAATACAACAATTCGATCTCATAGTTGTATAGATTTCAGGGCTTCAATATCCTCGACCAAGTATGAGAAATTAGCTAAACATCTTCAATTTTAGAGCACAAAAGAGAAAAGTGATTTGGGGGCGTTCTTTCACGTTCTATGGTGAATTAGGGTATTTATGTGGTGAAAAGATTTGTTTCCATACATGGTTGGACAGAAAAAGGAAATAAAAAATCGTGCCTCGAATTCCTTCCATGCGGCCGCATGCTATATTTCCATGCTACCGCATGGAACAATAAAAAAGACTCCAAAAATTGCTGAACCAGTTTGTGCAACCGCATGGAAAACTAATTGGAACCGTGCGACTGCATGGAAAACGAACCGAGCGACCGCATGGTTATACAGTTTTCTCCGTCGTATAGCTTTCAATATTTTAGTCATAACTTTCTCTCCCAATGTCCGATTGAGGTGATTCAAATTGTATTGAAAAGATAACTCAACGATCTACAAATTTTCTTCAGAAGTCATCTTCCAATTAGATCGTCTACCATGTCTAAAATGGGTCCCAATATCATGCTAAAAACCGCTACATTACTTTTTCGATCGGAAATTGATATGTGATTATACTTCGACTATATTTCACCTCTTTGACTTCTTTCTTCATCAACTTGACCTCTAAAACTCTTGAATCTTCATTCCATCGTTCGTCTCCCGGTTCAACTTTTGAATATTTGCAATTTAGTCCTTGATCTTTTGATTTCTTTCACTTTGGTCCTTCTTCACTTCATTCCTCTAATTTATGCCATAATCATCTAATTGTGACCTAAATCCAAATATAAGGGTACTCAGTACATTTAGGCATTAATTAATTACAAAAATGAATGTATTAATGGATGTAAAATATGACATTTTATGTCTTATCAACTGGAAATGCTCAATAAGGGGATTATAAGAACTAATACTAGTCCCTTCTCTTCACCTGTGCTCTTATCGCGCTCTCAATGCCATTACAGTTAAAGATTGTTTTCGCATACCCACGATGGAAGACATGCTTGATAAATTACATAGAGCTACTTCTTTTTCTAAGCTAGATCTTTCGGTGGGATATCATCAAATAAGAATGCACCCTCCTGACATTTCTAAGACTGCCTTTAGAACGCTCAATGGCCATTATGAATACTTGATCATGCCGTTTAGGTTGTGTAATGCCCCTTCCACCTTTCAGGCTGTTATGTATACAATTTTCAGTCTTTATATCATAAAATTCATCTTGGTTTTCTTTGATGATATCTTAATTTAGTCCTACTTGGGAAATGCATTTAGCACACGTGGAAAAAACTCTAAAAATCCTAAATTCACAAAAGTTCTTTGTCAAGGCTGGCAAGTGTGTATTTGCCAACAAGAACTTGAATATTTGGACCATATTGTGACACACCACGAAGTTAAGGTAGACCAAGGAAAGATGGCCGCCATGGTAGTATGGCCCCTCCCTACTATTATTACTGAATTGCATGGTTTTTTAGGGCTAACACGTTATTACAGGAAGTTTGTTCAGAAATATGGAGTTATAGTTCGCCCTCTCACTAATCTTCTTAAGAAAGGAAAGTTTGAATGGAATAAGGAGGCAGAGGCTGCTTTTCTCACCCTCAAAGAGGCCATGACAACAACTCCCATACTTCCTATGCTAGATTTCAATGAGTCATTCACCATTGAAACTGATGCATCAGAAGAGAGAATAGGTGATGTTCTATCCTAAGGGAGAAGACCAATTGCCTTCATGAGTCAAGCTTTGGGGATTACGAAATAATCTTGGTCCACCTATGCAAAGGAAATGCTTGCTATATTAGAGGTGATTCTTACGTGGCAACCATACCTCTTGGAAAAGAAGTTTATCATTCAAAAAGATCAAAAGAGTCTCGAATATTTTTTAGAGCACTGTGTGGCAACTCCAAAGCAACAAAAGTGGGTGGCTAAGTTATTGGGCTATGATTATGAGATAGTCTACCAACCAGGCTGTGACAATTCCGCTGCGGATGCCCTTTCCCGAAAGCCCAATAGCCCAATTCTTAACCATTTGTTTGTGCCACAAGTTACAATTTGGGAAGAAATAAAGAAGGCTGTCGATCGTATGCTTCATATCGTGTCATATATATTACCTTGATTCGTTTAATTTCCTAACAAATGGTATCAGGGCCATTGGTTGTGATTTATTCGAGGTTTTTGTTATTGATGGAAGTCATGAAGTATGAAATTTCACTCTTGGATCATAATACAAGATTCTCATAATAGCAAGTGAAGATACGAGCTATACTCGCGCAAATGGATTTTGATGATGCATTGTTGGGATTTGACAAAAAGCCCATAACTTGGACAATGGAGAAGAAACATTGGAGGGATCGAAAGGCACTTTTATAGATCCATCTTCATCTTTCCAACAATATTCTTTAGAACGTTCTGAAGGCGAAAAATGGCAACTAAGTCGTGGTTGAAACTGAAGCAATTGTGCATGGCTAAAAATCTACAATGAAATTGCTTGTATTCTCATCGCGTGGCAGAAAGTAGATCTTTGGAAAATCATCGCCAGTTTGAAGACTTTAGAGGTAATGTATGATGAAGAAGATTTGGCCTTAATTCTTTTGTCTTTGTTGCTCGCTTCGTATAGAGACACAATCTTGTATATATAGTCGTGATAACCTCACCATTGAAGATATGTATGATATCTTATTTTTAAAAAAAGAAGATGAAGCATCTAGTTGGATATGAGGTTAGATATCGAGAAGACCTTGTTGTTCATAGTGATCGGAGAAGGAATAAGTTTAGATTAAGCTTCTGTAATCAGGTTTGTTATTATTGCAAGAAGAAATGACACATTGAAAAAGATTGTGACAAATTACCGAATAAATATAATTTGATTGCAAATCATGAGAAGCAATCAAATATATCATACGAGATCAACACAACCAAGAACTATTTTGAATGATGGAGAATTTTGACAATTTATGATATGGAATCCAAACAAGACAAGGAGTGAATCTTGGATACAGCTTGTACATTCCATATGTGTTCCAATTGTGATTTGTTTGAAACATGTGAGATGGTGACGCAATGTGTCGTCGTCACGAGTAGCAATGAACTTTATTGGGCAGCTGGTATTGGTAGAGTCTTATTGAAGCTCGTGGATGGAACATATAGAAAACCTGATCATGTTCGACATAATATATGTTCTCTGGAGGAGGTAGAGTTGAGGGGTAGAAAGACTGTTCAAGTTGTATTGGAATGGTGCAAAAGGTCCTTAATTATACATCCGGCAAGGTCAGATAGAATTTGTGAAGAAAAATAGCACAAATTTAGTACCATGGTGGAGATTTAGCTTGGTATTGTACCTATACGATTTGATTCGAGGTCCATATCGGAGAATACTACGCAAATGAGTTTGAAGGATATGGGTAATTTCGTTTTGTCACCATTACCTGTGGTTTCATCGTATTCAATAGTTGGGGATAGACACATTGGAGATAGATACGTGGATACTGATTCGGCTTTTAGCGTTTTTGAAGGTGTTAAGACTGGCTAGGAGCTTTCTACGAAAGCATTCGGACATTATCCTACTATAGGGTATGCTTCGTCAATGTTTGGTAATTTCTAATTCTTTGTGAATTTTGGGGAACCTAGTATTTGGGTTTATGTATCTATGTTGATTACACCATTGCAATGGACAAGTATTTTTTGTTGGAGAAAGTTCAATTCTTGTTAAGGAATTCAGATTTTTCGTTGAAGATGGATTTGTTTTTCCCATGCAAATTAATTAGCTGGCTTTTATTTTGTTGTTTGTTTGCAATCATATATTTCATAGTGTGTCATATATATTACCTCAATCAAATTTTATTTCCCGACAATCCAAAGAAACAAATCTCCAAACTAATATTTATGTTTGTCCAATTGTGTTTAATTTGTGTTACTGTCTCTTTCGGGCTCATTTTATACTTTTCATTTTCACTGCGCTCGCTACGCTTTGGTGAGATATTTTTTCCCAACAACCTATCTTCTAGAAGTTGAAATCTCAGGTTGAATGACTGAAGATCCAAATTTTCTTTAAAAAATTTGTTCTTTATGTTTCTGAACATATATCTTTCTTGACTTAATCAACTACAAGTCGAGTTGTTAATTCTCATCCTAGATCCTCTATCAAAATGGTAAACTGGTGGAGTTCCATCTAAACAAACTATAAATACATACATCAGAAGAAAATATATATATATATATATATATATATATTTGTTTTCTTCTTTAATATATACCCACACTGTCCAAAACCCTTATTCAATTGATTACATGAAACCTAATCTAGAATTCAAGCTGTCAACTATCAAAGTCTAAGGATGGTAAAATATTCCAGCCCTACCCTACCCAACCCAGCCCAAGATTGCTAGGTAATAATAGGGATGGCAGTGGGTTAGGTTTGGGGGTGGGCCCCATCCAATACTTGCCCTGCTTTAGATGAGGCCCATTGGCTGCCCCCTTTTTTAATTGTTTTTGCATTTTCAAAATTTCGAATTATGCTATGAT